TACTAATGTTGATTCGTACTTACACAACAAAAGATTTTGTACATATATATATATATATATATTTGAAACATTTTTATTTGAAAAACAGTATTTATAAGACAATTGTATATTGTATTTTGCATTTCAGCGGAGCATATGGAAATATTTCGTATTTTGTGTTCAAGGCAGCATATAAAATTTTGTATTTCAGTCTTAATAACAATGAAAGTATTTATTTCGTATTTTGTATTTCAGTATAATAATGATGTCAAAATATTTTGTATTTTATATTTCAAATACTGATTGACAATCAATCTCATTATTTAAATTATAAGATATAAAAAAACTGATCATTTGATTTTAAATATTGGGAGTATAATTAGTTCGGTCCGTTTTTTTGTGTTCAAAAATGCATTTATTTCAAAACAAAATGAATGAACAGATCAATTAAAGTATTGTCCATCGCTGCCTACTATTTTTTCCCATCTCTCAGGCAATTTTCGAATTCTATCTCGAAAAAATGACTTGTTTTTGGAGGCGATCCAATTTTGGAGTCAATTTTCGATTTCTGCGAAAGAAGTGAACCGGATTTGCTGCATCCTTCGGAACAACCAGTAATCAGAAGGAGCAATGTCCGGAGAATATGGTGGATGCGGTAAAACATCCCATTTAAGCGTTTCCAAATATTTTTTTACGACTTTAGCGACATGAGGCCGAGCATTGTCATGAAAAAGAATAACTTTATCATGTCTTTGCTCGTATTCCGGCTGTTTTTATTGCAATGCACAGTTCAAACGAATCAATTGTAGCCGATACCGATCGCCCGTAATGGAATCGCCAGATTTCAGTAGCTCATAATAAACAAAACCCTTTTGATCTCATCAGATACAGAGCATGATCTTCGAACCGTGAATGTTCGACCGTGATATTGATGTTGAGATCGATGGCCTCGATTGACCGGGTTTAGCGTAGTATTTTTTCTTCTTGGAATTGTCGTAGAATATCCACTTCTCATCTCCAGTCACAATCCGATGCAAAAAATCTTTTCTCTGTTGTCCTTGAATCAGCTGTTCGCAAGTGAAAAATCGTCTTTCAATGTCTCTCGGTTTCAGTTCATAAGGCACCCAATTTCCTTGTTTTTGAATCATTCCCATGGCTCTCAATACTCTCGTACAGAAACGGCTTGTTGAGTTACCCCCAATGATTCTGCAAGCTCCTCTTGCGTTTGACTCTGATCTTCTTCGAGTAATGTCTCTAATTCATGATTTATCATGACTTTATTTGTTTAAAAGTTACTGATAAAAATGATCTAAATGATAATGAAAAATGAAATTGCAGGTTATATCATAAATAAAAGCGTCTTTTGATTCCCAAAATATTTATATCGTCTTAATATATTGTTAGAATAATGAAAACAGTAAAGAATGCACTTATAAATAATAATTAAAATATGTGTCTCATTGTGACTGATTCTTGAGATTTCGAAATACATATATGTTATAATATGCGTAGTCGCCTCTGGCGCGCACTAATAGAGCTCATTAATAGTTCCGCCGGCCGCTATTTCCGCAATACTGACTGTAGCACTGTGGACTTGTTGTGTAGCACGAATTATTCCTGATATTTCAAATACAATACAAAAGCAGTTGTAAGTTTGAAGTTTGCAAAATTTATATCATGCCATCCAGTAATAATAATTAGATAAATTATATTATATTTATATAATTATATAATATTTATGCTTTTGTCCGAACAAAAGTATAAATTAATATATATTCCATATATTAAATTAGATTAGATTATCAATATAATCATCTTTTGTTCTGAAAGTCTCGTATATATTATATAATAAATAATGTTTTTTTTAAGCTAATTTATAAATGTTTAGATATAAAGATTAATAATTAGGCTTGAATTAAACAATAAGTAAGAGGTAAAAAGAGCTAAGGAACATCGCTAGTTCTTAATTGTTAATATTTAATGTCTTGTAAAATATAATATTTAACCAACGTTTTCTTACATTAAAATCTTTGAATATTAATATCTAAACAAATCTAACATTACATGCTACATCTAAACATCCCTACCTTACATCATATATCAAATCTTATACTTTAATTAAAAATTGGTTTTCTCTAAGTAGACAATAATTTCCATGTTTCCTTCTGATAAATTGATTGCACAGCATCTTATAATTCGGTATCTTGTGATACAGTTCTCGTTTTCATCCGTTAACGA